GGGGATCGTGTGACGCCTAAATGGCCAGGAGGTATCTGTCAGGCAGGGAGGAATGCACAGGCTTTGAGGGGTGGGTGCTGGGGCCATGGGGGGAGTCAGATGGAGAACAGATGCTTCCCAGATCAGCCTCAGCCCTCTTCCCCGCGCCTCTCTCCCGCCCCCCCCCCCCACCCTCACGCTCCGCCCAGCCCTGTGCTCAGCGCTGCTGGGGGCACAGCCTTGCCCTGAGGGGCCGTGAAGGGACAGCCCAGGCCTGGGTGAACTCACCCTCCTGCCTGCGGTGCCGGTGCCGGGGAGCCTGGGGCAGGAGGACAGGAGGAGGGAGGGGCCTGGGCTGAGGAGTTGGAGGGGACATCCTGTCTCCCTCTTGGTCTCTGCTCTGGCCTGTGTCCCTCCTCCCGCCCCCTGGAAGGGGTGGCCATGCCAAAGCCCCAGATGGATCCATGCCTCCCATGGGGTTGAGGAGGGAGCCAGGGCCCCTGGGTCCTAGGTCTGGGTCAGGGGAGGGGTGGCCGTGAGTGCCCTGGGCAGGGGCCGATGCCCGATGCCCACGCCCTCTCCAGGACTGACCCTCCACCAGCGCTCTCTGCCTCCACTCAGGGAAGCCCGAGAGCCTCTGTCATCTGAGCTGCTGGTGAGCTGACGGTGCCCCCGATGGTCATGGCAATTAACGTCTCCTCCCGCCCCAAACGCCGTCTTCCTGGTGGGCCTCCTAGAGGCGGTGAGGTCACTGTTTCCACGACCCAGCCTGCAGCGGGCAGCCCTGCCTGGCCCATGGGAGGGTGAGTGCCCTCTGCCCTGTGACCCCCAGGCCACCCTGTGGGCGCCTCCGCCCACGCAGCCCAGGCCCAGCTCCTCAGCCAGCAGCTGCGGCTTGTGCACCCCGCTCAGCCCGAGCCCGGGGCGCTCCCCACAGGCCCCGGGGGGACAGCGCCCAGACTGTGGTGGGAACAGCCAGCTCTGACGGGAACTTGGGTCTTGCCGGAGCGTCAGGAATAAGACACATCTGGAAAAGCGTTTGTTGCTAGAATGTTGCTCTAGCAGGGCCCCGAGGTGCCCTCAAGCCTGAGTGGCCTCAAGCCCCGCCCTGGGGTGAGGGGCAGCCCCCCTTATTTAGGCTGGCTCAGCCCCGGGGGCTCTGGAGGCTGGGCCTGTGCCGGGTCCATGGGAGGGACAGAGAGCTGCCGACTCAGACAGGGCGGGAGGAGGAGCCGGGTGAAGGCTGGGCCCTGCTCGGAGCCCAGCTCCCAGGCCAGCAGGTCTGCTGGGCTGACTGGCCACTCCCAGCTTCTCAGTGTCCACTCTTAGCCCCCTGCTTCCTTCCCACCCACCCCTGCCATACAGTCATCATTCAGGGAAGTGGAGGTGGTCCCGTCACTACCCCTCACCCATCCTGCTGCCTCGGGGGCCTGGGTCCCCCAGCCGTGTCCTTGTTCCTGGGGTTCCCTCCAGTAAGCAGGCCCACCGGGGCCCTTCCCACAGGCAGGCAGAGAGACGCGGGCTCTGGGAACCAGGGCTCCCGAGTTCCCGCCCCAGCTCTGCCGTTCGGGCAAGTCACTGGGCATCTGAGCCTCCCAGGACCGTGGAGATGGCCCTCTGCCCCCCACGCCACTTTCCTCCCCCCCTCCCTGGTTGGCCCAGGGGTGTGGCGAGGAGATGGGGAGGGGTGCGGGGCCTTCCTGGGTCTGGGGCTCCAGTGGGAGACCTCCCTCCTTTCCCATGGAAGGTGGTCACGGCCACAGGGGCCCCCGTGCATTGTGGGAGAGGAGGTGGGCTTTATGTTGGAGAGGCTGGGGTTTTAATGTCACTTTCGGGAGGTGTCAATACTTCGCCTATAAGAAGGGTTTCTCGGTGGCCCTTAGGGTGGAAAGCATGCTGGTTGGGGGGAGGGGAGGAGAGATGCAGGGTGGCTGGGCATTGCCCTGAGTACCTCCGTTTACCATCTCGAGATTGGTGGGTACCTAATGGGCCCGGACAAAAGTGCTTTGCCTGCCTGCTCCGGGACCCTGGGTCCCCGGCTCCTGCCCGGCTCCAAAGGACACGGCCTCTGCCAAGTGCGCCCTCACACGGGAGCCCTCCAGGCACACGCTATGTCATCCAGGTGCCCACACGGTGCCTGCGGGCTCGTGGGCCGGAAGGCAGGCCTTGGGGGGACGGCGCTGGGCTGTGTGGTCCGGAGCAGCCACCCAGTGCCCAGGACTGCGCCGGGCATGTGGCATGCGCCCAGGAAAGGTTTGGTGGGTAAATGAGTAAGTCCCAGGAGACTCTCACCCTCGGGCAGGGCGGCACCGCCCGTGTCCTCAGCTGCCCTGATCCGGCCCGTGGCCACTGTCACAGAACCCGGGACAGGCCCAGGCCCCAACGTGGGGGGCTGTTTCTCTGTTTTCTGTGACCCGCGTGGAAAGCGACAGGTTCTCGAGTGGAGGAGCTGGGGGATTAAGAAGTTAAAGAAAAAAAAGAGACCAAGAGGCAGAAATAGGTTCATCGAGCTGGGACCCGGGTAGGGGGGCTGTCACTCTGATGGAGAGACAGTCCACACCCACCACAGACAACACGGCGCGTTTATGGATTTCCAGAGAGGGTTTTAAAGTCAAAGAAGTTTTGGGTGTGCCCAGGTCCTATTCATTCCCTCATTCCTAGGGTCCTAATTGTTCCTCATTCCAAGCACGTGGATAAAGATAAGAAATCTGCACTGATAACGGTCTCCCACGTTTTGGGGAAACTTGTTCCCAGGGCGTGGCTCTGCCTACCCCTTGGTTCTGCTGATAATTAAAGGTCATCCACGTGTATTCCTGGAGGCCCTCTATACCCCGAGGCTCCGAGTCCGTCTCTGTTGTGCTGGTCCCGCACTCCAGCGGGTCCGGTGGCTCCTGCATGCCCGGTGGCTCCTGCAGGCCCGGTACCCACTCTCCAGGCCACCTTCCCGCCCTCCTGGCCGGGCCCTGGACCTGCAGTGTCGGAACTCACCCTGCATGTGGCAGGGCGGGGACAGGTGGAACCTGCTGGGACTGGAAGCAGGAGGGAAGAGGAGGACGGGTGTCTCTTAGAGGACATGAGGGGAGGGGGTCCCGCTCCAGGCCCGGTCTGAAGGAGCAGGGCCAGCGCCTGGAGCCGGTGCTAGGATCTCAGGCCTGTGGATGGAGCACTGGACCCGGCCATGGCGAGAGGGAGCCTCCGGGCTGCGGAGAGCCGGAGGGACGGATGTGGAGGAGGTTCTGGAAGTGGCCCCAGTAGGCCGGCACTCTCTCTCCTCTCCTTTCTCTTCTCTCTACCTCTCCCTCTCTCTCTCTCCCTCTCTCTCCTTTCTCTCTCCTCTCTCTCCTTCTCTCTCCTCTCTCCTCTCTCTCTCTCCTCTCTACCTCTCTTTTCTCTCTCTCTCTCTCTCTCTCTCTCTTTCTCTCTCTCTCTCTCTCTCTCTCACACACACACACACACACACACACACACACACATACACACACAGTTAATAGGGTACAGATTACCTCTGGCCATAGCTGCTGGGTCTCTCTGAGCAGACAGGACCTGCCGGCCACCATGAGACTTCTGCTTGTGTCGCAGGCACTTGGGGCATTGGGGTAGGCACTCCCCCCATCTTCTCCCCCAGCGGGCTTCCTCCCAGCAAACGCCAGCCTGACCCCTGGTGGCTCCTTGCTGGGTCCGGCAGGAGGGTGGCCAGGGGAGGGGCCTGCTGTCATCTCTGCAGATGGCCCCAGACAGGCGGCCCCAGCCCACACGCTCACCCCTGCCCACCCCGGTACCTGCAGAACATGGAAATCCTTCTCTGCACCGGGCCTCAGTGTCCCACCTATAAAATGGGGAAAGCCACCACTCACACACAGGGTTGCGTGGGGCAGGCAGGAGGTGGGGGTGGGGGGCTCTCTCCTGGTTCCTCCTCGCGCCTCCCACTCCTCATACATCTTCCCCTTTTCGCTCTGCTCTCTGGGCCCAGTCAGGTCTCCCCTTTTTCAGCCGGTCTCACCCCTGGGCACGTTCTTCGTCTCTCCTTCTCCTCCCTGGCCCGCGTCACTGTCTCTGCCTGGGGGTCTCTCTCTCACTTCCTTCCACTCTTCTGATGACTCTACTTCCCTCTTTGTCTGTCTTCCTCTCCCTGCAGGGCTGTGTCTGCTCCCCTTCCCTCCCCATCTGTCTGTCCTCACTCCTCACTCTCCCTTCCTCCCCTTTCCCTCCTGGCGTCCAGTCTTGCCTCTGTCTCCTGTGGTTCTGCCCCTGAATCGCCGCTGGGAATTGCCCCAGAGGCTTGAGGCTACTGCAGACCAGCTCTCAGACTCCTGATGCCTCGGGGACCCCTTGGCTGAGGCCTGGCAATGTGCTCGGGACTCTGGGACATCCCTGGGGTGACATCCAGTGGCCAGCCCGGGACTGGGGTGCAGGAGGCCCGGGCTGCCCCCCTGATGCCTGGTCGCATGGATTCCAGACTAAACGGCAGTCTGGGGTGGGATGGGGATGCCAGACCAGCAAAGTCATGGTGCCCGCCTCCAAGGAGGGCAATGTCCACCCTCTGGGCCCAGCCTGCCCAGTTCCCCCCCTCTCCCCCCTTTCTGGAGTGCCTGGCTCTGCCCTGAGGCACCCCCTAAGCTGTGCACACAGGGCAGGACACCTGGATTTCTGCAGCCCCTGAGCGGGGCCCACTCGGAGGAATTTCCCAAAGCCTATTAGAGCAGCAGCAACCTCCCGCCTGCCTCCTGGGCTGGGCAGGGCGGAGGGCGGAGGGAGAGCGGCAGGGAGGGGTGAGAGGAGGAAGGGAAAAAAGTTGGCAGGCCAACAGCAGCGCTGTGTCTACATCCATCGCCCAGAGGAGGCCCGTGCGGTGTGGGGCGGGCCAGGAGCAGGAGAGGCCTTCCTCCCTTTGTGCTCCCCCCTCCCCTCCTCCCCCGGGGGCCCTATAAATAGGCCCAGCCCGGGCTGTGGCTCAGCTCTCCGAGGGAGTCAGGCACCAGGCAGAGGTCTCCAGCCAAGCCCCCGCCAGCCAGCCAGCCAGCATGGCCAGCGAGTTCAAGAAGAAGCTCTTCTGGAGGGCCGTGGTGGCCGAGTTCCTGGCCATGACCCTCTTCATCGTCATCAGCATCGGGTCCGCCCTGGGCTTCAACTTCCCCCTGAAGAACAACCAGACGTCAGGTGCGGCCCAGGACAACGTGAAGGTGTCCCTGGCCTTCGGGCTGAGCATCGCCACCATGGCCCAGAGCGTGGGTCACATCAGCGGCGCCCACCTCAACCCGGCCGTCACGCTGGGGCTGCTGCTCAGCTGCCAGATCAGCGTGCTCCGCGCCATCCTGTACATCATCGCCCAGTGCGTGGGGGCCATCGTGGCCACGGCCATTCTCTCGGGCATCACCTCCTCCCTGCCCGGCAACTCCCTGGGCAGCAATGCGGTGAGTAGGGTGGGCTTGCGGGCGGTGCTGACAGGGGCTTCGGTCTCCTCCTCCACCCGCTGCGTGGATGGGGACACCGAGGAGCAGAGAGGACAAGAGGTTGCCACGGGGAGGGTCACGCGGAGTTGGGGCTGGAACCAGGCTCCGCACGCAGCAGCCCGGAGCCTGCTTCCTGCCGGGCACTGGGAAGCTGAGGTCCCGAGAATAACAGTCTGGCCAACGTCCCCTGAGGTCATCTATTGTGGGGACTGAGCCCTGGAGGCAGCCAGCGTTGGGCCAGCAGCTCCTCACCTCTCAGCCCTGCCTGTGCACTCAGCTCCCTGCTCTTGCAGCCTGGACCCTGGGAACCTCAGCCCCAATGTGCCCAGCTCCCCAAACCAGGTGCCCGGCAGCCAGGTCTGCAGGGGTGTGGGCAGTTGAGGACTGATCTCCTCCCACTGATCTCCAGGGAGCCCCACAGGTCCCCTCTTCCAGCTGGAGGGGGGCATTGCCCTCCCTGGAGGCGGACACCAGACTTTGCTGGTCTGGCATCCCCATCCCACCCCACATGGGGCGTTAGGAAACCCCCTTCAGGGAAACCCCCTCCCGCCCCTCTGGCCCCAGGAACGGGAGAGACGGGGGCCGGGAAGGCTCTCTGGGCGGTTGGCAGGTGGTTTTCCTGGATTGCAGGGCGGGACAGGCAGGGACCTCTTGCCCGGGTCTGGGCTTCCCTCTGCGGCTGGGCACGGGAGGTGTGGCCTGTGTGTCTGTGTGTGGACGGTGATCCACGTGGACCGCGGCATGGGGCTCCGGTGAGCGTAAGCCGTGCGCTCCGGAGCCGTCCGATTCTGCCAGCGTGTGTGTGTGTGTGTGTGTGTGTGTGTGTGTGTGTCTGTGTGCATGTTAGTGGGCTGGGTGAGCCTGGGTGGGGGAGAGGGGGTCCCCGCCTGTGCCTACGGCTCCTGGCTGGAGAGGGGCCTGGGGTTGGGGCACTAACGACAAGCAGATGTTGGCAATGGGTGGCAGCCGCTGAAAAGAATTCCTTGCGGGCGCTTAGCACAGCTAATTGGCCTCTGGCTGCCGCCGCCCGCTGTCGCAGACCCGGGCTTTTCCAGACCCCAGGCCAAGTGCATGCTCCGCCCCCTCTTGGGCTACAGCAGGGGGGCTTTTGGCCCAGAGGCTGACGGAGGCTTGCAGGATGTGGAGAAGCACCTGGTGGGGGTGCTTTCCCGGGGAGGGGAGAGGCCAGGCAGCAGAGAGGAGGACTTAGGACTCCTGTGGAGAGAGGGGCTGGCGGGGCCCTGGGCAGGGCGGGCCGGGGTGGGGACCGGGCGGGAGATGGCACTGGGTGGTGACTGGGACTGTCCTCGGGCTTCCCCGCCAAGGCTCAGGCCCGGCGGCAGGATCTGTGCAGAGGGCAGGGGATTAGCGTTCGTGTCACAGTGACACCTCGCCCAGCTCTGGGGAGAGCCAGCGCCGCTCGGCCCATGGTTAACGATTAGCCGTGCTGCTGGAGTTTAGACTTTAGTCAGGAAGGCAATGCCCGGAGGGTGGAAGGGGCACGGCCCTCCGGCCTCGGCCTCGGCCTCGCCGGTGGGGGCAGAGCCAGGCCACCTCAGGGAGTGCCCCTCTGGGCAGGGAGGCTTCCCCTGGAGCTCGGCCGGCCTGATGGGCTGGGAGATGGTCCTCCGAGGGGAGGAGCTGGGCCCCCAGGCTTTCCCGGCCCCTCCTGACCCTCCCTCTCCAGGGACAGGCCTCTGCCGGGGAGCTCGGTCCCCTCCACCACCGTGCACCAGGCAAATGCCGCCTGACCTGGCCACACCCTGCTCTAGGGTCTCGTCCCCTTTCTGGCCTCCACTTTCCAGAGTCGCCCTCGTCCCTGGGCTGGGCAGGCTGGAGGCAGGAGGGGGAAGGGGCAGCCTCCTGGGGGGCCAGGCCTGGCTGGGGGCAGTCCTATCTGCTGCTAACTCGCTGCGGTTCTGTGGAGCCCAGGGCCGGAGGCTGCACACGGGCACCTAGGTGTCTGATAGCTCTTGGCCACACCCGCGCTCGCAGCAGGCGCCGGGGGCTGACGGTTATCACGCTGTCCAGGGCTGGGCTGAGGCCCAGGGGCCGAGCTGGACAGGAGTGAGCTGAGCTCTGTGCTGGGGCCCAGCGCTGCCCTGTCCACCTGCGGCACAGTCTCCCGCCCACCACGGGGGCCGGCCTGTCAGACCCTGGACCTCAAGAGGCACAGAGACCAGTTTACAAAGCTGGTAGCTTACTCTTTCCTCCAGACCCTAGTGTGTTGGCGGGGGGGAGGAGGGGGCTCCCCTTGGGCCCCGGGCCCCACCCTAACCAAGTCTGGGTGGAGCCAGGCATTGGCTTGGAGATTTCCAAGGAAAATAGGGGAAAAAGTGGCAGGAAGTGGTTGGGGTGAGTCAGGGATGGCCCCCGGGGAACTTTCTCCCCACTGAGTCAGGGCTCAGGATGCGCCCTGGAGGGACCCCGGGCCTGTCCAGCCTGCAGGACTCCCGGCTGGTCCTAAGGGTCAAACTCCAATTCTGGCCAAGGTGAGAGGCTGGGGGGCCGGGGGCAGTGCCCTACCCGCTCCTGCCAGAGCCCAGCCACTGCTACCCGGTGTGACTCCATGCAACGGCCTTGCCTGGATAGCCCTGGGTCCAGTCTGTGAGATGGGGACACAGCGGGGCGGGGCTATGCTCTGGGTGTAGGAAGATGCCATCCTGAGCACCCGGCTCCTTCGCCTCTCCCCTCGCTGTCTCCCCTCGGCCGCCCGCTCTCAGGGGCCTGGGCGCTGCAGGCTCAGTGCGGTCTGAGTCAGCCGCTCCCTGCCCCGGGGAAGCCCACGGTCTGGGTCTGGGCGAGATAAGCCCGGTGCACAGCTGCCCGCGATAGGAGGCAGGAGGCAGGTGTGATAAGAGGTGTCAGGGTGGCCAGGCTACTTCTGACCTGCGGGGAGGGGAGGGCCAGGAAGGGTTCAGGGAGGACGTGTCACATGAGCCTCAGTGAGGAGGCCCACGAGGGAAGGGCTGTCAGCGTAGGCTAGGGGCCAGTGAGAGGTCGTGGCCTGGGCGTTGTAGGTTGTGGCCGGACGGGGATCATGGCAGGAGGGTGGGTTCTGGAGGACGGTGAGGGCTCAGGACCAGGCCAGGGTCTGACTGTGCTCCTGAGGGATTGGCCATCCCAGTGCCTGCCATGTCAGCGCCTTCGGGGGCTCAGGCAGAGCACAAACTCCCCTCTTCGGGGGTCTTTCTTAGCCCTGCCGATTCAGGGCCCGACTGCCTTTGCCTGCTGCATCCGAGGCCTGACCTCAGCCCTAAACCTGCCTCTTCTCCGGTTTCCCGGGCCTCAGTTTCCTCAACCAGAGTGAGAGGCCCCCATGCCACCACCCCTTCCAGAGTTGGGGACCCCTCCTGCCTCCTCCAGAGCTGGCCGAGGGCTGGGGAAAGGGAGGCCAGAATTTCCCAAGGACCCTGTCTGCCAGGCCTGCTGGGGCGGGGCGGGGCTGGCGGGGCAGGCGGGGCAGCCGGGCTGGTGGTGCCCAGCTGGGCCTGTAATTATGGTTTCCAGCCTGGCTCAGAGGAGGGGGCGGCACAGAGAGCAGGCCTGCGGTGGAGACTTCCCTCCCCATGGACCTCTGAGGCCGCTCACCCTCTGAGCCCTCTCAGCGGCTCGCTGGCCCCTGGCTGCCCCACCCCTGCCCGGGCCAGGCCCGCGGGGGAACCCGCATCGGAAGGGGTGCCGATGTCTGAGGGGACGCACCTTGACCTGCCTCCTCAGCCACAGCCCCCCTCCCACCGCGCAGGCCTCCCAACCTGAGCTCGGCCCAGACAGTGCTCCCCGCTTTCTCTAGGGCCCCACCCAGCGGGTGTTCCTTCAGCACCCAACCAGGGGGCTCTCCCAGGCAGCCCATGTGCCCCTGTTCGCCTCTGGGCTTAGGAAGCCCCGTTTCTTACAGCAGAACCTCCCGGGGTTCGGGTCCCCATCCTCTGGAAGCGCGGTGGCCGGGGTGCAGCCCACACTCCTGAGGGGGAGGAAGGGGAGTGTCATGGCCAGGCTCCCTGAGGCAGGGCTCTCCCAGGGCCCAGGGGGCTCTGTGCCCACAGTGCTGCCCAGTGGGTGAGCACGCCGAGGCTGACCCGCCTCAGAAGATGGGGGGAGCGGGGAAACGAGCAGTTCCTTCGCCTGAAACCCGCCGCCCGGAGGCTGTCCGCTCGGACGGAGGCTTTGTTTCCACCGGCAGAGGCGGCCTGAGCTCAGGGCCCCCCCAGGAGGATCCTTGCCGCGGGCACAGCAGGGCGGCAGAGGTCCTGTGACGCGCTCTGCACTGGAGGTGATCCTAGGTCTCAGAGGTGGGGGTCCATGTCGGGAAGGGAGGGGTCCTGGAGCATCCAATCCAAGGCCCCCGTTTTCCTAAGTGGACACACTTAAGCTGCACCAACACACGCACTCACACACACTCACCCCCATGCACACACTCTCTCACATGTACACATAGACACGCACACATATACACAGGCACACACATACACACATACACACACACTCACCTCCCTACACACACACATTGCACATGCACACACACACTGGTACATGGCACAGGGGGGCACACGCACGTGGGCGTGGGGCAATTCTCAAGTCTGGGTGGCTCCACTCAGGCCTTGGGACGCAGAGGGTGGGGCGGGGGCTCCTCAATGGAGCCTCTTCCTCTCTGGCCGCAGGGCAGGGGCTGCTGGGGGGCGGGGGGAGGGAGGCTGGAGGAAGCCATTGCTTTGTGTATTGTTTCTTGTCAGGAAGATGGAATGGCTTCTGCGAGCAAATAAAGAGCCTTCTGAGACCTGCTCTCCCTCACTCGAGGGGCCTCCTTCACGTCTCCTCCCCCTCCCAGCCAGCAGGGGCACCTTTGTGGGGGTGTGCGACCCACAGGGACACACACGCCTGCACCCCCAGCCATGCCACCCAGCATGGCCAGCCAGGGCCACGTACCTCAGGGACCCGGGACCCATGTGGTGGGGATTCTCGGAGTCAGTGGACCCACCGGCCAATGCACAGCAGGTGTGTCTGAATGTCTCAAGTGAGCTGAAAATATTCTCAAATTTGGAGGTGCAGAGTTGACATATTCTCCTTAAATAAGCACATGCCCCCAGTGAGAGTGCTGTGCCTTGGGTGCTGGCGGCCTCGCTGTCTCCCGTCCCCTGTTCTTCTAGAGAAGGTGCTCAGAGCCTCGGCAGGCCTGGCTCTGGAGCCCTCAGGCGTGGGGTGCCAGCGTCCAGGCCAACTAGGGGGCCCGGGCCTCGGAATTACCTTGGTCAGCTTACCCACAGGCGGGAGAGCAGGTTTGAGGCTTATTGCCTGGAGAGGTCGGCCCTGTGCCACTCTGGTGCCAGGACACACTGGCAGCTAAAGAGCCATCTCCTGCCGGCTGCCCAGTCCACGCTGGGAGCCGCCAGGTCCCTGGGCCTGGCCTATGGCCGCCAGCGCCGTGGCCTGGGCGTGTGGGAGGCACAGACCCGGGGCCAGGATCCTGACTGTGCTGCCCCCACCCCCCACCCACCGTCACACAGGGCCCTGGCACCGGCCGCCCACAGGGACCACGGAAGCTGACGACTGGCCTGTGGTCCCCCAGCGAGAAAGCAAATGAACCTTCCTTGGAGGCCAGAGAGCTTCCCGGATCTGGCTGCCTCCCGGAGGGGGCAGTTCTAGATAATTAGCATCCTCACCACTTACGTAAACTGTAAACCGCACCGCGGGTGTCCCTCCAGGGGCTGGGCAGGGAGCTGGGAGCCTCCTGCCCTCCCTCACTGAGCTCTCAGCCCCGGGGGGAGGGGCGGTGGTGGGTGGGTGAGCACCCCCATAGGAGACAGAAGATTTGGGCAGTTCAGTGAGGGCTGGCCGGGTAACCACAGGAGCTGCTCCTGGCCAGGGACCTGGAAACGCTTCTTGGAGCTGAGGGGAGGGAGGGGGGAATCGGGAGGGAGAGGAGTCTGAATGCGCCGTGAGAGCCGGCTTCCGTGGGCTTGGTACGCACATGCGCGCCATTCAGGGGTGTCACAGGGGACGCGTGGACTTTTCTGTTATTCCCACCTGCACGCACAAAGCTGTTCCTTTCCTCATCAGCGAATGATCAGCCCGGGGCTGGGCGGGAGGGCCCGGGGTGGGTGTGCAAACGTGTACTTTTCTCCATAGCGAGGGACCGCAGCTGGGACTGGCTGCGTGTTTAATTGTTTCCAGTTTAATGGGTTGCAAATAGTAACATATGTTTAGAACTTTTACCCGCTCTTTCCTGGACATCGGGTTTCACTACCCCTTTCCAGTTCTGAATCATCAAGTTTTTCCAGATGTCAGTGACGCCGGCGCTGTGGCCGTCCAAGGAGAGGCGCTCGGTAGCCAGGGAAGCAATCAGGGGGGGCTTCCTGAGGGTGGTGGTGGTGGTACTAGGTTCTGGGAGGGGAGGATTATCAGCTGGGGTGGCTCTGGCTGTCAGGCTCTGAGGGGTCTGGGCAGCCAGGAAGGGCCAGCCTGGAGACCCCAGGGCGGGCGGCCCGTTCCTGTGGACTCCGAGGGCAGGGCAGGGCAGGGCACCGGTCCCTGCTCCCCTCGCATGGAAAGCGGTGCCCTGGGGAGGGCCGGGGCCGGGATGCTCAGACCTGGTGGAGAGCCGGGGGAGGAGATGAGCTCATCGGGGCCACATCTGTGAGCGCAGCGGGCGGGGATGGGGGAGTACGAGGCGGGAGCCACTTAGAGCGAGGGCTCCATTAATCAGCGTGCAAGGGCTGGGTTCGGGCCTCCGGCCAGCCGGCAATTAGGCCGACCCTGGAGAGCGGGGGGAGCGCGGGAGGGGGGCCTGAGATTCCCGGGCGCGCAGGCACCGAGGGCGGTGGCAGGTGTGAGTGTGACGGGCCCCGCCTCACCGGCCGGGCCTCCACGGAGCCTGTTTGGGACTGGGCAGGCCTCCCCCCTGTCTCCACACCCCTCACAGCCAGGCCCTTCCCTCCTGCCTGTCCAGTCCCTGGATAAGAGGGACAAGAACCAGAACAAAGCCACAACTCTCCGGATCCAAACGCCCCAGGACCGCCCCCCCCCCCCCGTCGCGCCCCCCCCCCCCCCCCCCCCCCCGTCGTGGTCTAGTTTATAGACGGGGACACCGAGGGCCAGCGAGGCCAGGCCGTGGCCAGGGCGTCAGCGAGGCGAGGAGCCCGAGGGCTATCCGAGCCGGGGCTCAGACGAGGGGCAGGGATGTGAGTCACTTTCCCCGTGACCCAGGGCTGCAGACAAAGGCGGGAAGAGGATTGTTCTGTGAGCCGCCCTCCCTGTGGCTGGGAAAGCCTCCGGAGAGAGGAGAAGGGCCCCCAACCTGGATTCTGCAGAGCCCGACTACCCTGGAGGCACAGCTCCTGCCCTCGGGACGGGACTCCTTCACGTGTAGGCTTCCTGGGACACCCCAGCCCTGCCTGGGAGAAGGCAGCCCATGGGGCCACATCCGGGCATCTTTGGGGGCGGGCCTGTGCTGATGGGGCCCAGGCCCACACAGCCCCGGGGGGGGGGGCAGGGGCTCCTGAGGAAGGGTTTCCCTGGTGCAGCCGCAGGGGCTGGGCTCCGGGGACCTCACAGCAGCTCCCATTCCCTTCCTTTTCCATGAGTCATGAGGCCCGGGGGCAAGTGGCAGCTGATGTGGTGCAGGGGCCTGTGTGGCCAGACAGAGGGAAGGGGTTGACCGGGGGGGGGGGGGGGGGGGGGGGGGGGGCAGGCAGGGAAGGTGCTGCCCGGAAGTGGGAGAGGCTCTGGATCAGGGGAGCCAGGCAGAGGTGGGGTGGAGGCAGGCCCGAAGGAGAGAGGCACGGAGGGAGCTGGGCCGGCTGAGCTTTGGGAGGTTTAGATGCAGTCAGGGAAGGGGTAGAATGTCCTGGACTTTTGGGAAAAAGCAATGTCTCCAGCTGGGCCCTCCCACCCATTTGCTTCCTCTCATGACTGTCACTGAGTGTCCCTTACCTTCTCTTCCCATGCCCGGGCCTCGCATATGGCCTTGGTCCCAGTAGACCAAGGATGCAGATGCTCTCTCTCCCATCCCATCCTCCCCTCCGCCCCGCCTCACCCCAGGCCTCCCCGGCCTCTGGGCAGGTACCAGGGCCCAGCGGGTGCTCCCTCAGCCGGTGTGAGACGGACAGGCCTGGTGCCACCCTCAGCTGTGTGTGCTTGGGGAGGGCCCAGCCCCTCCGGGCACAGCCATGGGCGCTGTGGTGGGCTCTCAGGCACAGAGGGTCTGGCCCATGGTGCCCGGGCCTCATGGAGCCTCGCTGTCCCTGTCCCCTACAGCTGGCCTCCGGCGTGAACGCGGGCCAGGGCCTGGGCATCGAGATCATCGCCACCCTGCAGCTGGTGCTGTGCGTGCTGGCCACCACCGACCGGCGGCGCCGTGACCTGGGGGGCTCAGCCCCGCTTGCCATAGGCCTCTCCGTGGCCTTGGGACACCTGCTGGCGGTGAGTGGGGTGAGGTGGGGGTGGGGGTGGGTGGAGAGGGTGAGGCGGGGCAGGGGCTGCGGGGGTATCCTGTCATGGGCAGGGGAAGGGACCCAGACTGGGCTATTCTGTGGGGCTATCAGCTCTTTGGGCCTCGGCGGGAGGGGGGAGGGAAGGAGGGAAGGAGGGAGGATGGTGGGGAGGCAGGTTCTGCCTACGAGAGGGAAGGGCAGGGGCCTCCTGACCATCTTTCTGGTGCTGATTGCCACCCATCTGCTTTTCTCTGTCTTTTTCTTCTTCTCCCCCTGTGTGTTTCTCTGTCTCCCCTCCCTCTGCCATGTGCTTCCCTTCACAGATCGACTACACGGGCTGCAGCATCAACCCTGCCCGGTCCTTCGGCTCGTCTGTGATCAGTAACAACTTCAAGGACCACTGGGTAAGCGCTGAGGGCTGCCCTGGGGGTGGGTGGGAGCCCGGCCCCACCCTGTAGCAGAGGCCCTGGGAGGAGCGGGGCCAGGGGGTTTGGACACAGAGCTGAGGTGGAGAGCCGTGGGCCAGGCCTGGAACAGCGAGGACTGGGGTCCCCTCCCAGCTCGGCCAGCAGCATGGTCAGGAGTCAGGCCCGAGTCCCGGCTCTGCCACTTTCCACCTGGGCACGACCTGTGCAGGCTGCTGGCCTCTCCAGCCTGCTTCCTGAGCTGTGAAGCTGGGGTGCAGCGGCACCCCCTACCCGCCAGGGGGGACAACCGGCCTCACCGCCCGCAAGCTGAGCTCAGCACGGGGTCGGGGCTCCGTGGATTTCGCTGTTCTTACTGTTGGTGTGCTTCAAAAAAATACGTTTTTATTGCTTTTTAGAGAGGAAGGGAGAGGAAGAGAGAGATAGAAACATCGATGAGAGAGAAACAATGATTGACTGCCTCCTGCATGCCCCCTATTCCTTCCGGGGATGGAGCTCATAACCCAGGTGTGTGCTCTGACCGGGAATCGATCCGTGACTTCCCGGTCCATACATCAATGCTCAACCACTGAGCCACACCGGCTGGGCACTGTTGGTGTGTCTGTTCCAGGCCAGCCTTTTACCCATCTAGCCTCTGTGACCCTCTCTCTGCAGCGGGGCGGGACAGTGGCCAGTCTCAGGGAGGGGCTGAGCGGGGCCACACGGGGGCAGGGAGATGCCCCCTCCCACTGTCCGGGCTTGGGCCAGACGTGGGGGGCACTGGCATCAGGAAGCTGGGGTGCAGCGCTGGCACAGGTGGGAGAGACCCCCTCGGTGGGTGGTGGGGCGGGGAGCGCAGGGACAGACCCCCGGGAGCGGGGACCGTCCGTGGCCCGGAGGGAGGCTGGCCCGGAGGGAGGCTGGCCCGGCCCGCTGAGCACGCTCTCCGCCCAGGTCTTCTGGGTGGGGCCGTTCATCGGGGCCGCCCTGGCCGTGCTCATCTACGACTTCATCCTGGCGCCGCGCAGCAGCGACCTCTCGGACCGCATGAAGGTGTGCACCAGCGGCCAGGCCGAGGAGTACGACCTGGACGGCGAGGACATCCACTCCCGGGTGGAGATGAAGCCCAAGTAGAGGGCCTGGCCCCGCAATCACCAGGGGAGGGGGCAGGGGCGGGCGGCGGGAGGGGCGGGTGGAACCCATATTATAGACACTCTGACGAGCTGGCCAAAGTCTCTCGCCGAAGATCCGAGGGACGTGCGTGGCCACGCCTGATTTGGGCTCTTCCTATCACTTTCATTCTCTTTCTCTGCTGCCTGGCCTTGGGGCTTCCTGGAGACCCAAACTGCCCACTCGCCCACTCCCTGGAGGTCCCAGAGGAGCTGAAAGAAAGGCACCCGCCCTCAGAGTGTGCCAGAAAGCCCCTCACCCCAACGCAGCTCCCCAGCTCACTGACCGCAGGTGCCTGGGGCACCGCTGTCATCGCTCTGCGCCTTTGGGTGCAGCCTTCTCCTGTCACTTGCACTTTGCCCCCAGGGGTGCTTCTCGGGGAAAGAGACTCCAGGAGGGGCGGGTTAGGAGCGAGTGGTGACCAGCTTGGCCCACGCCGTTTGCCTTGCTTCCGTGCCCCCGTCTGAGAGGGGCAGGGACAGAGAACGCCCCGGGGCCCGAGGTCCCTCTCTGGGGTTCTGTGAGTGCAGACGCACTGTGGGCTCCGGAAGATGCTGTCTGCATCCGCGTCTTCCACTCGCGCCAGGTGGGTTCTTTCCCCCAGCACAGTTGCAGCAAGGATGCATGCGTGCTTCCAAGCAGCGAGCAGTGGCCAGGCCAGCCGCTGGAACCAGACAGGGCCTGCTGCTGCCCAGGGAAGGGCACTTAGAGGTCAAAGGAGGAACGCCCAGGTCTCCTCGCTGAGTGTTAGTTGGTCTTTTCCGCCTATCGCTGCATCATCTGGACCATTACCTGGTTCTCCGCTTCCTCCCTCCTGCCAGAGGAGACACAGGTCCCTGGGATGCAAGCATGTGTTTATGAAAGGACAGTGGGGACAGATGTGGCTCGGCCCACGGCAGCAGATGCCCTGGCTGGACCTCAGGGGTTTCCAAGGCCCCAGCTGATGGTGAGGGGTGAGGAGCAGCTTGCCCCCTTGCTACTGAGCTCCTGGCTGAAGGCATTCAGGCTCCCGTGTGACCCAGGCCCCCGTGTGACCCAGGCCACAGCCTTCCCTCCTCACTTACCTGGAGGGAGAGTCAGCCGTGGCCTTGGCCTTGACCTGATGAAGGACCTGCGGCTGCAGCCCAAGGACATATAGTTCAGAGCACAAGGTTAGTTTCAAGGGCAGCCATCTACAGTCCATTCAATCCCATCAGAGCCAGAGCAGGTCCCCTACGTGCCCATAGCCGCGATGGTGACAAAACCGAGACACCATACCCAGGTACCCAGAAGCAGGAGGCCCTAACAGTCCCCGAGCCCATCTGCTCACGCTCTTTTCCATTCCCTAGCAGGGACTTCCAGCCCACCTTACAGATAAGGAAACTGAGGCCCAAGGGCCCACAGCTAGGTCATGATTTGGCCAGGCCCATCAGCCAAGGCCATGTCTCTGGCTACTACCTGGCCCATGAGACTGGCCCCTCTCACCCTAGCTTCTCTGTTTCGGCCTGGGCAGGGGCCACGGGCCAGGGGGCCGAGGGTTGTGCAGGAGGGGAGTAGGGGGTGCGCCTACGCCCCTGCCTGTCCTTGCTGTTGTTCACCAGGCCCTGCTTCTGCCTGCTCTGCACATGTCTCTTGGGAATTGGAATTTCATTGTATGTTAAAAAAAAATAAATAAAGGAAAATGACTTTTAATGTCACCCAGGCTTCCTGCGGCTTTCTTTCATCACCGGGTTTCCACGGAAGATCTCCGGGTCTGGGAGGAGAGAGGGATGCACCCACGGAGGCCCTGCCCGCCCTCCTGCCCCAGGACCCCTGGTCTCGGCCTGAGGGGTATAGGGTCCTGTCCCTGGCAGGGCCTGTTTTTTATTCTAGCACACGAAGGGGTGGGGAGCAATAGGTCTGAAGTGTGACAGTCCCATTAGACCCTCTGCCCTCCTCCTAGGAGGACCTAGGGATGGCCCAGGTGTCCTTCCTTGTCCCTTCCCTCCTATTTCTGACCCCACCCAGCCCTGGGCTGGGTACTGGGGCCCAAGGCTCAGTCCCCTGGGGGAGGCAGGCTCACGCAGCTGAGCTGAGGGGGGTGAGCACCAGGCAGAGGCCATGACCTGCAGAAGCTCAGAGGGAGACAGCTCAGGCCCGGAGCTCTGTGGGCACCTCCACCCCGAATGGGCATTTTCCCTGGAGGGTCTGTGGCTTTGGTCAGAGAAGAGAGGTCAGAGTAGGCTGGCTTCTATCTGGAGGGGACCAGGAGCCAGGAAAGGTCCCCTCTGCCTGGCCCTTTCCCTGTCCTCTTACAGTCCAAGGCCAGTGTGGGCTGAAAAAGGCCCTGTCTCCCACCCCAGGCCCCTTGAACTGACAAAATATGGACTAGTCACTCGCCCATGCAGCCCAGGCCGGATTGGGAGCGTGTGCGAGGCTCTCTCTCACAGCCCTGCTTGGCTTGTCTTCTTATGGCGTCCTATCCTTGCAGACATGGAGCCCTCTCAGTCCCCACCATGGGCCCCGGCCACCCCCACCTCAACCCCTACTCTTCCTGGACCAGCCCTGGCCACTCCAGGGCAGAGCCTTTCTTATTGATGGCTTAGTTATAGCTTCTAGTACCAGGCAGGAACTTACTGTTTGTGAGAAACTCTCCTGGGACTTCGCATGCAGTCTTTCTAATCTTTATGGCATCCTTGGAAGGCAGAGATGACTGCCCCCATTTACGGAGGATGCTGAGGCCCCCGGAGATGAAATGATGGGCCCATGCTCTCACAAAAGGCTGGGCCCAGAATCGGGACTTGAACCTGCCCCTGTCTGGCTTCAGCAATGGGGCTTTTCCCATTCTGTGGTGCTCCCCTGTTTAGTCACGACCTCCGTTAAGTTTAGCTCTGGGCCAGCTGGGCAGCCAGGCTTCCCCTGCCTGGAAGGTGTGAAGAGGGAAGAGGAAGGGAAAAGACCACCTGGCTGGAGGGGATTCTAGCACCAGGAGAAGCACTTCCTTCCGGGGCCAGCTGGACACAGAGTCTGCCTGAGACACACTGGCACCACCTGGCCCCAGGCTGCTCTCCTGGCACTGGCACCATCACAGCCTCCCCAGTGCCCTCTAGTATGACTGACCCTCTATCTGGAAGGAAAATGTCTGCTAAACCTACTCGTTCAGAGGTTGTTCTTTCCCAGGAGAGTACATGGGAAAGGGAAAGACAATGCTGCAAGCTGAGGACTATTAGTGCACTCTGAAGGGGCCTCAGAATCCATGCAAGTCTAGGAGCAAGAGCTTTGTGGCCAGGCTATCCCAGACTCCCTGTCAGCTCCCAGCCTGTGCGTTCAGTGCTTCAGATACCCCCACTCTCAAGGGTCATGCCTGACTCCACTCTGCTCATGTTCTGTCCAGCCTAGCACAGAAGAGAGGTTTTGGGGGAATAACTAGAACTGGCATGGGGCTTCTAGAACAACCAGAGCCCTTGTCAGTTTTGTTCATCAAACTTTAATGGAGAGAGTAAATTTCCTGGAAGATTCCATGACTCAACCGTTGTCCCCCAGCTGCCAAGCATCGAGCCACTGCACACATGAGGTGCTTTGGTGGCTGGGTGGGGCACCTACCACCCCATCCGCCGAGTCTCTGCGGAGACCAGCCAGCAGGTCCCTTCCCCACTGGACTCCCCTGTGGTCCCGAGATGTGCACATGGAGGTGGCTCAGCCGGCCCAGAAGGCCATGCCTTCTGCACTTGGCCCAGCAGGAAGCAGGATGCCATCCAGCAGTGTCTCAATCCTAGAATATTTGTCTCTCCATTAAACTCTCAAGAGCAAAGAGTCGCCCTTCCACAATTGCCCCACCTGCTCCAAGGCCTCGGAGGAAGCTGGCCCAGATTGCACCATTTTCCAAAGCCCTTTGGAGGGAACAACCTGAAGCTCCCTCTGTGGTCACTGTGCAGATCTGCCTGAAGCCGCTTTCCAGGTGCACATACGCAGGACCTCAAGCCTTGGGTCAGCCAGTCCTGGGTTTCTAAGCATCCAGCAACTCGTATTTCCCTTCCTCCTCCAGGATCAAAGGGGTTCCTCCCTCCAGGCCCCAGAGAGGTGCTGAGGGGTCCATGGGAGAAGAATGGACCTGCGAAGCTACCTGCATGGGGGTCAGTCAACTGGCCAGAGACAGAGACGCCATCCAGCCTCAGTGGTCCCCAGCCTCTTGAGTTGCCTCAAAAGCTTGTGCGGGCTCAAAGGAAGCCATTTGCCACTTGGTCCCAAGGGCCACATCGCCTTTGGGGGGACTTGGTAGCTGCCGAGAGGGTTCTCTTCCTTTCGGGGAGAGAACCAGTATCCTTGGAGCCAGAGCCGGGAGCTGGTCTGGAAAAGCACTGGAGGGACAAGTGCCAGGGCCCCTGCCCTTGGCGTGGCCGGCCGCCTGCAGCCCATTAGGGTTTTTCCATCTCTCCCGTGGGGCACACCTTCCCTGGTCAGGGGCCTCTCCAGAAGGAGGACAGTGATTAATGTTTTATGGACGAGCTGCTGGGCATGACACCTTGTTTGCTTTAGGTTTAGCATACAATGAGGGCGATGATCGGAATGCGCTGCCAGCTGAGGGCCGGCGCAGGGCCACTGTTGGGGGCTGAGGACCCACAGGCAGCGAGGTTCCCTGTCCCGGCGGCTGGAAAGGGGGTGCTTCTGGAGGTGGGAAGGCAGGCAAGGCCTGGGCTTACAGGACCTTCCTCCTCCCAGCTCTCAGGAGCTGGTCCCCGCCAGTGCCCCCGACCCTGGGGTGCAGAGGCCACCGGCGAAGGGCACCCAGAAATGAATGCACTCGTTCCGCTGGGCGGCTCTCCCTCATTCCAACAAAATCCCACTCTCCGCATCTGGGGTTTTGCTTATTTGTCTGTTCGTCCCAGTGTATTGGTGGGGAACGAGCTGCAGGCATAACTGACCTTCAGCCTTATGGGTCAGTGCGGCCTCATTGGGTCCCAAACATGAAATGCTTCCATCTGGCCCTGGCTGGTTTGGCTCAGTGG